CCTCAAGAGTCTGAATCGTCCTCTCGCTCTGCCCGTCTGTCTGAGGATGAAAAGCGGTGCTGAAATGGAGACGAGTACCCATCTCGTCGTGGAACCGCTTCCAGAATCTGGACGTGAATCGAACATCTCGGTCCGACACCACCGATACCGGCACCCCATGACGTGCCACAATCTCCCGCACATAGATATCGGCTAACTTTCCGCCGATATACTCTCCTGAATCGGAATAAAATGGCACTCTTCGTCAACCGATCCACTACTACCCATATCGAGTCCACTCCACGTGCGGTCCTGGGGAGTTTGGTGATAAAATCCATGGTGATATCCTCCCATTTCCACACGGGAATGTCTAACGGCTGCATCTTGCCGTGAGGTCTCTGGTGCTCCGCTTTGACCTTCCGGAAGGTCAAACATCTCTCAACATACCAAGCGACGTCCCACTTCATGCAGGGCCACCAATAATCAGGTCGAAGATCTCGATACATCTTCGTCGCTCCCGGGTGGATAGAAAATCGAGACTTATGAGCCTCGTCCATCAATACTTGCCGTACCCCACCCCAGTACGGTACCCATATCCTACCATGAAGCGTCAACAAACCCCGACTGTCGTAATCAAATGAAGCTACTCGGCCCACTATCCTCTCACACTTCTGCCTCTCCTCCTTGAGGCCCTCCATCTGAGCCTCCTTGATCCGCTCCAACAGTGGAGTGATCACAGTCATCCTCATACACAGATCCCTGATAGGGGCCGCCGACACCTTGCGGCTCAGGGCGTCGGCCACCACATTGGCCTTCCCTGGATGATAAAGGATCTCACAGTCATAGTCCTTCAGCACGTCTAACCATCTCCTCTGCCTCATGTTCAAACTCGGCTGATCCATAAGATATCGCAAACTCTTGTGATCCGTGTATATAGTACAGCGGACCCCATAAAGGTAATGTCTCCAAATCTTGAGGGCAAACACAACTGCCCCCAGCTCCAAATCGTGGGTAGGATAATTAGCCTCGTGAGGCTTCAACTGTCTCGAGGCATAAGCTACCACATGGCCTCGCTGCATCAATACTGCCCCATACCTGTGATCGAAGCATCACAATAGACTACAAAATCCTCTACTCCTCTGGCAAGGTAAGGATCGGAGCCTCGCACAATCTCTGCCTGAGAGTCTCGAACGCCGCCTGCTGCTCAGGCCCCCAACGAAAAACCACCGACTTCTTGGTTAGTCGGGTGAGCGGCACTGCTATCTTGGAGAAGTCCTGAATAAATCTCCGATAATACCCTGCCAACCCCAGGAAGCTCCGAATCTCAGATGGAGACCTCGGGACCTCCCACTGCATCACGGCCTCAATCTTGGCCGGATCTACCAAAATACCCTTCTGGTTGACGAGATGACCAAGAAACTGCACCTCGCGCAACCAGAACTCACACTTGGAGAACTTTGCGAAAAGTCTCTCCCTCCTCAAAGTCTCCAACACCTCCCGCAGGTGCTCCTCGTGCTGCCCCTGTGTCTTGGAATATACCAAGATGTCATCTATGAATACTATCACCGACCGATCCAGCATCGGTCTGCACACGCGGTTCATGAGATCCATGAACGCGGCTGGGGCATTGGTGAGCCCAAATGGCATCACCACGAACTCATAATGACCATACCGGGTCCTGAAAGCAGTCTTCTGTACATCCTCATCTCTAACCCTCATCTGATGATAACCGGAGCGTAGATCGATCTTGGAGAACCAAGACGCTCCCTGAAGCTGATCAAACAATCATCTATCCTCGGAAGTGGGTAACGGTTCTTCACCGTTACTTTGTTCAACTCCCGATAATCAATGCACATACGATGCGACCCATCCTTCTTCCTCACAAATAAGATCGGCGCTCCCCAAGGCGAACTGCTCGGCCGAATGAAACCCTTGTCTAACAGCTCCTGAAGCTGTGTAGACAACTCCTGCATCTCAGGGGAGCAAGTCGATACGGCGCTTTGGCTATCGGAGCCGCACCAGGAGCTAGGTCGATCCTGAACTCAACCTGCCTCTCATGGAGGTATCCCCGGCAAATTCCTCGGGAAACACATCCGGGTATCACGAACAATAGGAACATCGTCAATCGTCGTCTTGCCCTTCTCCCGGGCATCCAAGACGTAAGCTACAAAACCGGCGCAACCCTGCTGAACATAGCGCCTCGCCCTTGCGGCGGAACAAAAGATCGGTCCTCGCTGGGGCCTCTCGCCCTGAATCACTATCTCTCCCCCACTGGGAGTGCGAACCCTCTAACTGAAGCTCACAATCAATCACCGCCCATTGGGGCTCAGCCAATCCATGCCCACAATAACTTTATTCCCACGCAGGGGAATAGGAACCAGGTCCACTGAAAACTGCTCATCAAATATCTGAAGGGAACACCCTCTATGTACTCTGCCGACCCTCACGGTCCTATCATCTGCTATCTCAACCTCTAGTGGACAATCCAGCTCCCCTGGAGCTCTGCTAAATCTCTTGCTAAGCGCAAGCGATACAAATGATCGGGTAGCCCCCGAATCGAACAATACCAAAGCAGATGCCGTTCACAGAGAACGACCCTAAATAAAACATACCCACATAAGTAATATTCAAACGATATAATAACAATTAAAGATGAAGGAAAGATTCATACCCGTCACCACATCAGGAGTCGCTCGTGCCTCCTCTGCTGTCATCTGAAATGCCCTGCTCTTCGCCACTGGCGCATCAGATCGGCCCTGCCGGCCATCCGTAATCCTCAAGGTGGCAGGGGCAGGTGCAACCACCTTCCCTGCTGCAGCTAAACTGGGACACTGGGACCTTTTATGTCCCCTCTGATTGCACTGAAAGCAAATCAGATCTGATGCTGTAACCGTAGTAGCAGGGGCCGTACAATCCCTACTCAAATGCCCAGTCCGACCGCACTTGTAGCAGCCGGAACTCCCTGCCTTGCACGCCCCCTCGTGCAATCTCCCACACTTGCCACACCACCGTGGCTCTGCTGACTCCTAGACCTGTGATCTGAAACCTTGGGCTTTTTGCCCACTGCCTGAACCCGAACCGCCTCCGGTTTCCTCTTCTTCTCCATCTCGAGATCAATCTCCCTCTCTCTAGCTCTGGCAATCATGTCGTCCAGCGTTTTACAACTGGACCGGCTCACAAACATGCGGATGTCACTCCGCAACATCTCATGATAACGGGCCTTCTTCATCTCCTCATCGGCTGCATACTGAGGAACAAGAAGGGCCCTCTCCCTGAACTTGGCGGTGATCTCCGCCACTGTCTCTGTAGTCTGGGTAAGGTCCTGAAACTCCTAGCTAGCTAACTGCACACCTCAATGACGTGCAAACTCCGCCCTGAACCTGGTAGAGAAATCAGCCCAGGTCATGGCATCCAATGCCGCATCATCCCCGATGGCATGTCCGACCTCCTCCCACCAATCCCGTGCCCTGTCCTTCAAAAGACAGGACGCCAATCTGACCTTGTCCCCCTCGGGACACCTGCTAGTGCGGAAAGCGTTGGCCACATCCGCCAACCATCTGGTACTCGCTATGGGGTCCCGCGCCCCATGATAGTCTGGAGCCCCGCATGCCCTGAACTCCCTGAACGTAAGTGTGCGCGACCCCATCACGGCCGCCATCTCAGCACGGAAGTACTCA